TTTAATTTCTTCCATAGTTTAGATCATCACAAATCAAAACCCCCCAATTGCATAACGTATAGCATAAAAATCTGAACTAAATCTTCCTTGTGGGATCGACCTCTTGCTTGCTCTATACTATCTTGTGTGTTGTGTTTTAAGCTAGGGTAATTAATTTGTGCGACCGCGACATCGCAACATAATTCACAAAAATTAGAAGATTAAGGACATAATTGAAACTTTGAAATGCTAAATTGATGATCTATTTGTAAAATTCTATTAAGGATTGGAAAAATTCAATAATAGGGGACCAAAGTGAGCAACATAGAGAAATATAATAGGCAAATTATTATTTTAAAGCAAAATTCATTCTAGTCTAAAAGATTATTTTCTTATTTTTTTAGCCTTTTGAAGTTATTTTTGTGTCCTTTTTCTAGCCTAATTGCATAGAATGTTTCTTGAAATTATGATAAAAGTATCAAAATAAAGCTTTGAGAACTAACAAGTAAAAGGAGGATAAAATTGATGGTTGCTCATATGTATTTTGATCCTAAATAACTTTTTAAAAAACAATTTTAATCTCTAAATGAGAGATAAATAGAGACTCGCTGAAAAATGATATTAGAGAGAGAAAATATTTAATAGTCATAATCTTGATAACATAAATTGGTGTCAACACATTCCATCCAACAAGGATGGTGACATGAAGTTGGTTTTAAACCTTAATCTCATAAATATGATATCTCTAACTATCTTAAAGGCTTCAATCACCATTATTTGACTAAAAAACATTTCGCATACGAGGATCAACTACTTCCATCAAATATTTACATTCTATTTTTTTCAATGATATTGACACCATCTTGTTTCTTCTTAGCCTCTCATATGTTAGTAGATGCAGACTGATTAACGACCAATCTTTCAATAAATAAATAAGGGGTTTTAGACCTCTAAATCACAAAAGGTTTGTTTCTAATAGTAGATATGCATCCTTTTAATATGATTCATATTCACTTATGATATGTTTATATCATATTTGTCATGATGATCTCGTAAAAATAGTCCTTTCAGTTAGCCATAACTGAAGAAGAAAAATTACATGTTTGAGCTTATAAAAAGATAAAATAAATCTTTTTTAAGGAGGTTAGAGAAAAGGATGATAAGGAATCTTCCATAAACCTTCTATTATGTGCAAAACCACCTTTTGGTTTTGTTTTGGTTATAAAGGTTTTGCAACTTTTGGTTTTGTTTTGGTTATAAATAAATAGGTGTTTTTAATTAGAATGTCTTTAAGAGCATAAAAGAGATGAAAGAAAATAAAGATAAAACAAAGAAGATTTATTGAGTAAATAGAAAGAAAAAGCTAAGAAAATTATGTGAGAATTGGAAGGAGAAAAATAGAAGAAGAAGTTCATAAAGATTAGAAGTTGCGAACAAGGGGGAAGAAGCAAAAAAACCTTTAAAAAAAAGTTGTATTATTCAAGAAGAAATACCTAAAATCTTGGTGAGATGATGTAGTTTAATGGGCACACATCTTCTTTATGTCTTTCAATTTCATTTTTTGTTATTGATTCTATTGATTTCATTTCAGTTTAGAAGTAATGTTTAATATATTTTTGCATCTAGGCATGTTTTAAAATAATATGCATATTATACAATGTATGTTAAAGATAGTTTTGGTTTGATGATTTAAGATTGTTAATATAATATAATTAACATGTTTGAATGTTATTTTTTATGTTTCAAAGTGTAGGTTAATCATTTGAATTTGTTTTGGTTTAATGTATTAATATTTGGAGTTAATTTGTAATATATGTTTAAAATGATGGAAAAAAAAAGGTAAATGTTAAAACTAATATAACAGTGTTTTAAGATATTGAGAATTTATCTTTGATTTTTCTGTTAATAATGTGTTTGATTTTCTTGTTTTGTTTGATTTACCTTTTTTTTTTTTTAAAGCTTAGTAAGCTAGCTTAAGCATAATGAAGGTTGGCTTAATAGGTTATATCTCATTTTTGAGTTCTTAAGTCAGTTTTAGGCTTAAGTTATTTCTAGATAATTTGTGGGCTTGAATGCTCATTGAAATGTAGATTTCATCTTCTCACAATTGGATATTTTGGCTTGCTTGATATACCTAGATTGAAGCTTGAACTTGTATATGATAGTTCCTGTCAGTAACTTGTCCATTAATTGCTTTTTTGGATAAATTGATCCTGACTAGGTTTGTTTTCTACTATCGGTAATGATTTGAAGTCATTTTCAGTTTGTTTTTCTTGTCAACGCATCATTATATTCTATGCGCTATGATTCATCTTTATTAGCTTTCAATTTGGTGTAATCTACTTTGTAATTTAGATTTAGTTTCTAGTTTCTTTCACTTATTCTTTATATTCTTAAATGGATTCAAACAAGAATCTTTCTTTGATCATTTTTCTTTTCTTTTATATGCATAGGTTTGGTTTTGGGGCTTTTAAATTTAGGTGGCTGAGTCCAATAAGGTTAAGGGCATGTTTGGTTGGTTAGGATTTTTCAAAGAAAAATACATATTTTTCTATCTTTAATGTGTATTTGCCAAATACAATCTCAAAACAAAGTCTTTAACTTTTTACTAAGGGCTTGCTTGAAAAACACGCTTTACTAGTTTTTCAGTAGTTTTTTTTTTCTGTTTTTAATATTTGCCAAACATAGCCCTTGTTTTTTAATTAATTTAGTATCATGACTTCAAAGGATCCATTTACAATAATTTTTACATTTCCTATATTTTACTTCTTATTATTTAATATTTTGGATTATGACTTATATATGAGATGTTTTTTTAATATTAAATAAATCAATTTATAAAAAAAACCAACAAAACACTTTATATTTTAAATTTTTATATGGCCAAGTCTCTCAAATAAAAATCTTATTTGCATAAGGAAATAAAAAATAATACATGGCATAATTTAGCATTTTTATATACCAAACAATTCAAGAAGAAAATAATTTTGTTCATATCTTTACTTGTATTTTTAGATTTAATAATAAATTTATTAAATCCATGAGAACTTGACCTATATTTAAGTACACCAATAAATCAATTTGTTTATTTTAATATCAAGGATTATAAACTTAGATGTGAGATATATTCTAGATATTAAAAGAAACAAGTGCAAAAATATGTTTGGACTTTAAAATGACTAAACTTAACCTCTAAAATTATGGTTTATTCTATTGGGGTGGATCAATTTTTAACTATTAGATAGACCAATGGTTAGAAGAAATAAAATAATACCTTAGTAATAAGATAAATAATAATATAATTTATCTTAAATAAAGTGTACTGAAAGCGATATTATCTTTTTATATACAACTAGTCCTTTTTATCCAAACTCTGAAAATTAGTTAGGATTTAATGATCAAAATACTATGTGATGACCAAAGTATCATTTTATTGATAAAAGATAATAATTTCTTAAATCATTATAACATTACACATATGCAACATTGTATTTGAATCAACTTATCCGAGTTCATTTTTTTTTTGTCTTTTGTGTTTTTTCCTTCGGAATACCAAAAAAAAAAATCAGAATCTAATAAAAAAATTATTATCAATAAGAAAATTTTTCTTAAATGATTGATTGAGTTTTATTTAGATAATTTATTTTTACAAGATATTCGTTTTATGATTTTTTTATATTTTTATTTTTTAAAAAAGAAAAGTCATCCAAGGTTGTTTTTTTACCCCGCATGCACGAGTTTTGTTTTTTTCATGTATACTTTTTTATTATTATTATTTCTTAGGCTATGTTTATTTTCTGGAAAGTAGTTTTCAGAAAACTACTTTCTAAACTTTCCTGTATTTGTTTGCCATCAAAAAAGTTGAACAATGAAAAATATTTTCTAGTGAAAGAAAAATTTAGTTTGGTTTTGAGAAAATTGTTTTCCTGGAAAATTTAGGTGGAAAAAACTTTTCAGAAGTTGTGAAAAATTTAAAAATATCATATTATTTGCTAATTATATCAAATTTGGTCCTCAAACTTTTGATTTTTATATATATTTTGTTTTAAATATTTATTTTTCAATTTCATCTCTTAAAATTTAATTTTTATATTAACTTTAGTTCTTATTTTTATAATTATTATTTATTTTTTTCTTATTATTTTTTTTATTAAAAATTTTTATCTATCAAATTTGGTCTTTATTCTTTTGATTGTGACTTATTTTATTTGAAATAATTTATGAAATATTTATTAGTATTATTTTAATTTTTTTTCATCTTATATTTTTTTATTTTTTAGATTTGATCTCTATTATTTTGATTATTATTTATTTTTTGAGATAATTTATAAAATTATATATTTTTTTTAATTTCATTTTCATTCAACTTTTTAATTTATAAGATTTGTTCCTCATTATTTTAATACACTTGAGAAAAATAAAACGTTAAAAAATTATTTTTCATCTTATTTTCCATGACATAACCAAATACTAAAAAATATTTTCCAATTTTTTTTCATTACACAATTAAATATCAAAAAATAATTCATTTTTCTAAAATTTATTTTTTAAAAAAATTAATTTTAAGTAAATGAATAAAACTTTAAATTTTATTATCATTATCTCTTCTGCAACGGGGCACAGGAGAAGGGCCTAGTGTTTTTCTAATAAAGTTTTTATTTTTGTTAAAACAGGGCCCCGAGGCCCAAAACAGGATACCTAGGCCCATGAGATCCATAATCAATTAACAAAAAAGCTCTGGAAAATCTCAGTACTTCGTATTCCAAGTCCACCTTCTCCAAGATGATATACCTCTGCAGCCAATTTACTTGACGATAAAAAAAAAAAAAAAAAAAAAAAACAGGTGATTACCAAGAATCAACTAGGTATACAAAATCTGTATCAATCACATTCAACCTTTTTAACTGGTAACAAAAAATAAAGGTAAGGTTGCTATCGTTTAGCTGTATGGAACTCTTTTGCATTTCACAATATTTTCCTTCTATAAACCGTATCGCCTCATTTACTCCAATCCTTCGGTTGAGATGAAAAACTAACCAAAACTACTACTTCCTGCTACAAGCCACCCCATTTCATGAACTTCTTGACCTCATCATACAAAACCAAAATGGCAGCAGCACCAGTACTCCTAAACACATTTGAAACTGCCCCACGATAGAAAGAAGCCACCCCCTCTACCCTATAAATTTTCCTCCAGCAATCAAGTGTGCTATTATACATTGGTTGTTCCAGACCAGATTGCATCATCATTCGCCTTCGAACTGTATCCAGTGGATATGACATCAACCCAGCTGATGTCGTGACTATCTGAGCCACCACCCAACGCTTCCACAATGGCAATTCAGGTTTAGCTGCTTCTCCAGACAAACTCTCCTTCATTGTATCAAACCCACCAAAATATAGACTCCTGTGAACTACCATTCCTTGAAGAGAGGCAGGAAGCCCTCTGTACACTCCTCGAATCCCATCTTTATTGTATACAGTAGTCAGGAAATGAAAAATACCTCGAAATTGCCGAGCATCAGTTCTTCCAATGTCAGCAGCAAGGCGGGTGTGTGCTATATCAAGCGGGTAGATTAAAATCAGTGTTGTACAGCCAGCTGCAGCACCCGCAGTGAAGTTGGCAGGTGTGCTAGACAGAAAAGGACCATTTGGATGGTTTCTGTTATGCAAGATGTTTTTATAGAGATCCTGCAATAGAAATTAACAACCATGAGGTCATGGCAGCATAACACGAAATGGAGATGATCCTAATTCACTTGAAACTTTGATATCAATCATCAAAGTAAAAGATCACTTCCTTTTATGCAGCCAAATAAGTTAGAATCCCTATTATTATCTTCTATTGCATTATTAAATTTTCTCATGCCATGGATAATGACATTGTATGTCTCAAAGAGACCAGCTACCAAAATACTATTTCAAGGAAAAAGTCATTTTCCATATCTTAGAAGTTCTGGGAAGAACTCAGCCAGCTAAAATATACCAATCCTATTTATAACATCTTGCAATCAAGAAAAAATTAGTGAGTGGTATGCAGTTTAGCTATCTGCATGTCCTGAGAAGAACCTTCGGCAAACTTAGTGTTACCATGAGGTTGCAAGAGCATGATCAAACCTTTAAACGCTTACATTTGTGGAAAAGAAAAGGTCAAAAGCCAACCTAAAAACATTGGTAAGAGGTTTTATTCCGCCTCCAATGCATTCAATACACCTGTTAATATCTAAAGTTTGTTTGTGCTTAATTAAACTCTTTTTGCTCTCCTTTTGTGCAACATAGTAATTCTTGGATCTTTGTTTCAACCATCTTGCACAAATCAATGGACCTGTAATTAAATCCCATGCCACCTTATCTCTCTAAACTGTGTTTCTTTCATTCCTTGCAAAAGCTCACCCCAGGATCTTCTCACAAATTATAAATCCAAAGTTAATTCACCAAAATTTCAAAATCTATCCAACTATTTTAGATGACACAATGAATCTATGGAGTAAATGCATAGCCAGGAACTCTCTAGTTGGGGAAGCATTTTCCATATCTTAAAAGTTCTGAGAAGATCTCAGCCAGCGAAGATAGACCAGTCCTATTTGTCACATCTTGCAATCAACAAAAAAGTAGTGTGTGGTATGCAGTTAAGCTGTCTGAATGTCCTAAGAAAAAGCTTAGGCAAACTTAGCATTACCGTAAGATTGCAAGAACATGTCCAAGCCTTTACAAATTTACAATGGCGGAAAAGAAAAGGTCAAAAGCCAACCTAAAAATATCAGTAAGAGGTTTTATTCAGCCTTTAATGCATTCAACACACCTGTTAATATCTAAAGTTTATTTGTAATTAAACTCCCTTTGCTATCCTTTTTTGCAACATAGTAGTTCTTGGATCTTCATTTCACCGTCTTGCAAAAACCAGTGCACCTGTAATTAAAGCTCATGCCACCTTATCTCTCCAAACAGCGTTTCTTTGATTCCTTGCAAAAGCTCACTCCAGGATCTTCTCCCAATTTATACATCCCAAGTTAATTCACCAAAACCTCAAAATCTATCCAACTATTTTAGATGACATAATGAATCTATGAAGTCAATGTATAGCCAGGAAGTCTCTAGTTGGTGAACATTTTGATTTCCAATTCCCAATTGACAACTTATGCATGAATTTCATTCTCCTTTTATTTTTAAAATTAGCAGGATCCTTCTTCTAGAAAATTGCTTAAAATTTCTCCAAATTCAACTGTACCAAAATTCTGTTATCAAGATTTTCCCTAAACTCTAAAATCCTCATTCCACTACTGGCAGCAATCAGTTCCAAAGATCCTTTCCCATCAAATCCTATCAGCCCAAGTTCATAATCCTCCCATTTCTTTCTAACTTCAAGATTCTACGTTGTTAAAATTACAGCATGACAAACACCAACTAAAATAAAGAACCATCCTTTACAATCATAAAAGACAACATTCCTATCATCCCATGTTAAAATAATCCTATTTCTTTCTAACTTCAAGGTTTTACATTGTTAAAATTACAACATGACAAACACCAACTAAAATAAAGAACCGTCCCTTACAATCATAAAAGACAACATTCCACTTAACACGAAGTGAAATCAATCGTTGCAATATTCATATACTCATATATCAAACATTTCACACACACATCAAGAACCATCATCAAATACCAAAAACACCCAAAATACTATAAAAACAAACCACCCCATATTCCCACGGACACATTTCATCAAACACCTTACCCACAAACCAAAAAGAACCCAACTTTACTCACCTTAAGAGAGAAATTAAGAGCAACAGAAGGGTAATATCTAATCACACTACTGCCATTGCCTCTCCAAAGCGAAAGAATCCCTTCTTCTTTAACTGTACGAACAATACAATCAACCATTCCTTTGAATTTCCTGCGTCCACTCCCTACAATTGCCAAATTGCTTTCTTGAGTTTGTAACAGCACCTTTGCCCTCTCAATTGGCGCCACTGTTGTATGCATTACCCCTCCCAGGAATGCACCTGCCAATAGATCTTTGTGAAAGTCTGTCAAGCATTTATAAGGCCCTGATGATATTGGTGGCTTTGACCGATCTCCGTTTTCTCCTGGATCATCATCGTCTCTACTCATTGTTAAAAACCAGAATCAGAATGAGTTTTTCTCTATAAAGATCGAATCTTTTTGGGTTTCAAGAGAACCCCTTTCGTTGTTTATCTTTAATTCTTTATAGTATCTCTAGAAAAGGAGAAATAGTGGGTTTTGCTCGTGTCTACTTTTTCTTCTTGGGTTGGTGCGCGAGATTCCAAAGGAAGAATCTTTTTCTTTCAATCTCCCTCTCTGTAGTTCGAGGGAAATAAAGGAAAGTCAGACCAGGCAATTCCTTCCCGATGAGTAGTTGATCAGGACTTGTTAGCTTATATAGTCTCCTTTTTACTTTGTATAGTCCTTATCCTTCTATCTAGGAAATCTCTTAGGTCGGTTTTTTTTTGGGTTTTGATAAGTCATTACATTTTTTCTAACAATTTATTTATCTAAATTATTTATAAAAACCCTCCAAGAAAATAAGTTTCATCACACAAAAATACACACCCAAAAAATTCATTATTCTAATAGTGATTTATACCTACAAAATCTTGTGCCCGTGTCATTTTAAGGTAATGAAAGATCTCCCGCTAGGCTCAATTATTGGGTGATTATATTCGTCATTATATATATATATATATGTCCTCTCCCCCTTTTGTTCTCATGAAAAGCAACAACTTTATAATTGATGCATCACTATCATGCTCACCTAAACATTTTCAAAAATTTTGTTTTCTCAAAATAACTTAATGTTATTTATTCTTAAACATTTTTAATATTGGAATGCCCTTGTGTTGACTTTGATTCCAATTCCTCCTCTTGCATGGTTTCCAAAAGTTACCGTACTCTTCATGTAATTTCTCTTCCAATAATATATTTTTTTCTAGAATAATTAAAATATAATAAGAAAAAAAGTAACAAAAACCATCTTGTAACATCATAATATTAACATCTAACACTGTCACAGTAAAAAGAAAAAATGAAGAAAAGAAAAGGAAAGGAAAGGAAATAAGGAAGGGTAATCATATGAAACTAAAAAGCTTCTGATTCCATGTCCAGTACGGCAAGCCAACAGTTGCATTTTACTTTTTGCAAGATCCTAAGATCCGGCAGCCATTTCTCTCATAAGTCACATGCATGCCCAACAGGTCTCTTAACTGAAATATTTACAGAGAAAGGCCAAATGTAAAACTTCCTAAAATCGCCACCCTCCCACATTGCTCCAAAGGGTTTTCTTTTTTCTTCCCTCTGTGTAAGATGTAAGAACAAGGGGTTCGCGTAACGAGCTCCACTGCAGTTGAAAGATTGCCAAATTCTGTATTACTGGTAAGCAACAAAGCATTCCAATGGAGATGACGCACCTCATTACAGCAAACATTCTATAAATTCATAACCTCGGCTTCATTGAACAAACCTAAATGAAATCCCACTTCATTGTCAAAGCATACAGTAATTAATAATCCAGTGTAACTTGATTTCATCTCGCTGAGGCCGAGCACAATCACAATTCTCAGGATATTTCCTCGACCAAGAATACAATTTATGTGAGAATCATAAAACGAAGGTTGAGTAGGAAGCATTTATTGAAAAAATAATCAAGGTCGCTTTATGAATTAGAAACTAAATTAAGGAAGCCATCACAATATCAGATAACTATCAGACATAAAGGAAAATAGACCATACAACCAGTCACAATGCAATTCAAGATTGAAATACCCATTTATAACATGATTTACAAGAATAAAATGTTCCAGAATTCTCATCAAAACATGTATGCATCACCATTCTAGGGAAGGAATAAAGAGAAGCAAAACAGCAGCATCTCATGCATTCAAAATATATTAATAAGTCTCAATTCTTGTAATTCAATAAAGTCATCAATCTCACAATTCACTATAACAATCCAATTCTACTGAAAGATTCTACTCACAGAACAGAGAACATGAACATGCGAGAGGTTTGCTGACTGCATGCTCTGAAGAATGCTTCTGCTCCATTTCTTGAAAAGGACTGCTCGATGATCTCTCTGTTGCAGTAGGGCTGCAAACAAGGGGTGGGTGGGTGGGGGGTGGGGAGGATCAGATAAAGTAGTGAAAATCTGTGCAACCAACAATCAGATGCATGGTTACAGTTATAGATTTATTTGACCTATGATCATGCTTCAATTGATGAAAAAATCAAAGTTACCAATCGCTGTCACATAATTCATGGTTGCAGTCAAATATTTGCTTATTACCTTTACTGCAATTCTATAGTGATTAGGGAACGTAAAGACAATATACACATGTCTTTACTGCAATTCTATAGTGATTAGGGACCGTAAAGACAATATACACATGTTACTTGCTAACATTATGTACATCAGTCTTATCATTAGAAGTCCAAGTTAACGCTGCAGCACCTGTTTATTCATCAAACGTTGGAGTTGTCCAAAACATGCATAGATATAATACTTTGAGGACGAAAAAAAGAAGGATAATTAATTTTTTCTAGTTGACTAGGAAATCATATTCCAAGATATGTGACAAATCAAGGAGACGATTCAGGACCCTAAGAATATCTCATGCAAATTAACACCAGAATTATTTTTCTTCTCTTACTAAATCTAAAGTTTTTTATATTTATGCTTCCAATTTGGCTTCCTCACTCCTTGCAATGATTACACAACAAACAAATCGATCAAATATAAGTACAAAATAGCTCCAAATCAAAAAATACATGCAACATTTCTTTTAAAGAAAGCACATTACATGCGCATTTTGGAGGCTTTTAAGAATATCCTTGAAGTTGGAATATGTTGTAACTGAGTTCATCTGGTCATGGACCTTAATATGTTGTTCTTTTTTTTGGCAGGTGCAAACTTCACAAAATACAAGGAATCTACTTGTGCCATCATTTTTTTTCCTATCTATTGTCACAGCTCTGCACTCTGCAACCAATTCTAGATTGTTCTGCAGCTCCATTGACACTAGTCCCAGAAAGCAAGCAAAATCAAAATCTTTAACCAGAAACCATTGCTGATATCAACTTTTACCCTTTGGCATACTTATCAACATAACCCTGCAGAACAAAATGTGAAAATGGTATTGCCAAGGAAAAAAAAAAGAGCATAATTAACGACCATATAGAATCTAATCATGCATAAAACATCCTTTTGAAGTCGCAACTCCCACAAATTTCCCTGTTTGGTGTCCCAGAACTTGTCCATTTGCAAAAAAGAAGTTTCAATCATATTTTGAAATACTATTCATGATGGTCTCAATCACTAGGAATGATATTTTGTGTCTGCACTTTATGTGATTTTTCAATAGTATGGGACAATTTTTGTGGAAGGTTGTTGGTGCAACCCTACCTTCCCTTGATAAATTAAATACAACTGTACAATTCATTGTAGAGAGTTAAAAAAACTACACGACAACAAATCCTAACTCCTAGGTCCCTCTGAAAACATTACTAGATAGAAATGGCTAATGGTTAAGAATTCATGTTCTGCACTTTCCCTTTCAGTGGAAAGTTGTCAAGCTGCATCAGGCACGCATCTATGCCTGTTTCCCACCCATGACTTCTAAGTTCTATAATGACAATAACCACTATCATGATCGTACTTTTTTTGGTAGTAAGAAATTGATGTTTCAATCAGTAGAATCATAAGCAGAGCCATGAGGTTATGGGAAACCTATCATTGAATGTGTATCATGTGAGATTCATAGTGCTAGATAACATGCATCAAATGTGATATTTCTTAAAGAAACCCTTTCTAATCATCTGCCGCTTCAGTTTTCATACACATAAGGCCATAAATATAAATATCAACTGTCTTTGCCACTTGAATAGAAACCATTATTAAATGAGCTTGTTTGTGTGTGTATTTGTGTCATGAGAAAACTCTTTCACATATCAGTTTCAAGGTAAAAGAAAGAAGGATTTACCATCACAAGTTTTGTTAATTTATGTTGCGATGAGTCAATGTAATGATCTATTTTTGCCTTGGACTTGGGTATTTGATGGCTCTTCATTGCTCCTGCAACCTTATCAACCGTCTTCTTGACAATAGTCTTAAATGCTTCCTTACTCATGTTACCCTGTCGCCATGATGGCTTTAAAACGTCCTTGACAAAATCTGCAAGGGTAACCTTAAAGAGCTTCATTGATCTGGACTCCTTGCTCTTTTTGCTCTTCTTTGGAGACTTAATCTGATCAATCTCCATATCACCCATATTCACATTCACTACAACAGGAGTACTCTGGCTCTGATTCTCAATATCACCCACTTCTGCATCTGCAATCTCACCAAACTCCTCATTATCAAGAGATGTGGAAACCACAATGCCTCTAACTTCTTTCTTGTTTTCTTCCACATCCAAAGATTTGTTTGAGGCACTAAACCTTGGCATAACATCAGTGTCAATGGATTCCCACTTCTGAATGTGATCAAGTCTCTTAAATGAGTTTGAAGTTGGCTCGATGCTGTCTAAAAACGGATCATATTGATCACCTCCTGAGCTAGGAATGATTTGTGCAACCCCCCTGGCAGAACTGGGCGAAGGTATTGGATGTCTTGTTCCAACACTGACACCTTGTCCATCAAGTGAAGCATGGTTCAAACATGAAGAATGATCATCCTTACAAGAACAGGATGGAACCTTTTCTTGCCTTACAACATCAGAACTGAATCCGGAGTTGAGCGGCTGCTCAAAACTAGTTGGATAAGAATTCAGGTGAGCTGAATTTTTTGCTCCAAAATCTGGCGGGTGAGATGGCTGATTTGAGTCCAGAATATCTGGTGGGAGTCTAGATGAAGAACCCACCTTTCCAGATAGACCATACACGTTATCAATAGCAGAGCAATCCAAACCATAGGGTGATTGTTGCTGCTGCAGATCTTCAGAGCCAACAGTAACCAAGTCTGAGGCAGTTTGAGGAATGTCATCTTTCAAACAGGGCTCCTCAGTATTTTCTGAGCAATCCTCAGAAGCATAATCTTGAACAAGTTTGAATGGGCTGCTTCCTTTAAAAACTTCACCAGAATATTTATCAGAATAGATGCATCCAGCAGCTGACATGATCCTTGATGAACTTTTTTCATCAGCTCCTGCTGAATTAATGACTGGGCTATGAACTTCAGAAACTGACTCCCCAGATGTCAATTGGTTATAACAATTGATGAGTTTTGAGCCTGTAATTGGAAACAAGATTAACTCTAAACTTAAGGCACGGAACAGGTGTACAAGTTATTCCTGTACAACTAACATGAGCAATCTACATGAGAACCACACAACGATAAACGTTCTAAAGTTTCAGGCCAGCAAATAACTCAATATAACCACCGGCATGTGCTATTAAAGCTTTGCAATAAATAATCCATAATATATATAAAAGCACGAACTACTTAAAAACTTTTGATTTAT